AAAAATGCCAAAGGACTTAACAGAAAATGTAAACAATATGCATGCCGAGATGTAGAAGTTTAGGAGAGATTAGGGAACTTATATATATATAATGTATTATATAATTGTTTTATATATATATATACACACTTATATATAACTTTTATATATAAATTATATATATAATTTTATAAAGATTATATATAAAATTATATTTAAAATTTTATAAAAATTTTATATATACAAGTTATATATATAAGTTATATATATATAAGATATATATATATATATAAAGGAAGTGATAAAAATAAGCTAAAGAGAAACCTGGTGATAATAGAGGAAAAGATCAGTGAAGCTGAAGGCAGGTCAATAGAATTATCTCAACTTCAATAAAAGAGGTAAAATGGTAAGAATAAACAAACAGAACAAGTTTTTGAGATCTGAGGGACAATAACAAATGGTCTAACATATTGATTGAAAATTCCTATAAGGAAAGGGATATATATATATATATATATATATATATATATATATATATATGGTGTATATACACATGCACACATGCACATATATCTATATACACACACAAAAAGAGATAATGGCTGAGAACTTTCACATTTGAAGAAAATTCTTAATGGACAGATTAAACAAGTTCAGAGAATCCCAAGGATGATAAACACAAAGGAGGCCCCATCTAGGCACATCACAGTCAAAATTCTGAAAAAAAAAAAAAAAAAATTAAATAAAGATCAGCTTTTAAAAAGTGGTCCAAGGAAAGGGCTCCTGGGTGGCTTAGTCAGTTAAGTATCCAACTCTAGATTTTGGTTCGGGTCACAATCTCAGAGTTTGTAAGTTCAAGCCCTACATCAGTCTCCACACTGGCAGTGTGGAGCCTACTTGGGATTCTTCCTCTCTCCCTCTCTCTGCCCCTCCCCAGATTGCCCTCTCTCTCTCTCTAAGTAAATACATAAACTTAATTTAAAAAATTTTAAAAAGCAGTCAAAGGAAAAAGATAGCCACACTACATGCACGCAGGAATAAAAATACAAATGATAACTGACTTACTACCAAAAACAGTAGTAAGAAGAAGACAATAAAACACTTTCAAAATACTGAAAGAACAAAAATATGACCACCTAGAATTCCATCACTTGCCAAAATACCCTTAAATAAAAGCAATATAAATATATTTTCTTTAAAAAATTTTTTGTAATGTTTATTTACTTTTTTTGAGAGAGGAAGAGAGGCAAAGCACGAGTGGGTAAGGGGCAGAGAGAGAGGGAGACACAGAATTCGAAGCAGGTTCCAGGCTCTGAGCTGTCGGCACAGAGCCCGACGCAGGGCTTGAATTCACAAACCGTAAGATCGTGACCTGAGCTTAAGTCGGACACTTAACTGACTTAACCCGCCCAGGTGCCCCTAAATATATTTTCAAAGAGACAAAATCAAAGATTATTTGTCTCCACCTGACTTGCAGTACAAGAGATGCTGAAAGAGATGCTATCGGGAAATAATATCACATGGAAACTCAGATTCACAAAAAGACACAAAGAATACCAGAAAGGGTAGATGCCTGAGTGGACATTTTTAAGTTTTGTTAGTAATTTTAATAACTTCACTTACTTTAAAAAGCCACTGTTTCTTTAAGGCAACATAAAAACAATGTGTTGTGGTATTACAGCATATCCAGATGCAATAAAAAACATTTTCTTCATAAAGGGAAATAATATTATTTGAAATCAAGCTAGGATAAATTAAGATGCTTAATTTAATTTCAGATGCTACTACTAATAGCCCAAAACAGTAGAGAATATCTTTGAGACTTCAGAGTAGGAAGAGACTTGTTGACATGGTACAAAATATACTAACCATAAAAGAAAATTAATAAATAGGACACGAGCAATATTTAAGATTTCTACTCATCCAAAAACAATTTTAAGAAAACCAATAAGCAATCTTGGGGCACCTGGGTGGCTCACCTGGTTAACTGTCCAACTTTGGCTCAGGTCATGAACTCACATTTCCTGAGTTCGAGGCTGGAGCCTGCTTCAGATTCTGTGTCTCCCTCTTTCTCTGCCCCTCCCTTGCTCACGCTCTGTCTCTCTCAAAAATAAATAAACATTAAAAAAAGAAAGAAAATCAATAAGCAATCTAAAGTCTAGGCAGAAGTATGCTAGAAAGAAATATTTGGAAAAGGATTGCTTCCAGAAAATACAAATAACTCTCATAAGCCAACAATAGAAAGATAAAACAATAATAAAATACTTAAATAGGATGACTAATAAGTATATAAAATACACTCAACACTATTAATAATTAGGGAGATGCTAATTAAATTCACATTCAGATGTCACTCACCTCCACTAGAAGGCCTACAAACAAATCAGGTAACAATCTCAAATATCGGCAAATACATGGAGCAACTGGACCTTCCGTGCCCTGCTGGTAAAAGGGAAACTGGTGCCATCACTTTGGAAAACTGCCGTGGCCTACCAAGTCCATGAATAGGTATTTACCGAAGAGAAATGAAAATACAGACCCACAAATGACACCCAAACATGTTTGTAGCAGGTGTACTCATATTTACCACAAACTGGAAACGACCCAAAATGTCCACAAACGGGAGAGTATGTAAATAATTAATGGTATATAAGGAATATCACTCTGCAATCAAAAGGAACGAACCACCAACCAATATATACAATAATAGGATGGATCTCTAAAATCTCTGGTAACTGACAGAAGCCAGACCCTTCCTGCCAAATGCAGTATGATTCCATTAGTATGAAATTCAAGAACAGAAAAAACTAAGCTTAGTTAAAAGTAGAAAGCGGTTCCTTCTGGGGACGAAGATTTGACTGGAGAGGGTCACAAGGGGACTCCTGGGGTTAGGTAAATGTTCTTGATTTTGTTTGGGTGGTGATTACACAAGTACATAAAATACTTAAGCTCACTGAAATGAACATATAGGGACCATGCATTGTATTGCAGATAAATTATACTTCAATAAAAAGGAACCAAAATAAATGAAATAACTTGCAGGTAGAGAATGTGGACCTGAATAATTACAGAGCTAGATGAACTGCCACATATTGGAGCCAGCACCCACGTTGAAAAGCAGGACATTACCCCTGTGCCAGGCCACTCTTGTCCCTGCTTCCTGTGTCTACCACCCCCAGTAATCACTATGCTGACATCAGCTCACAGAATAGTTGTCTCTGCTTTTGTACTGTATGTAAACGGAATCATTTAGCATGTACTTTCGTAGCTGGTTTCTTTTAGACAATCTTACCTTTGCGAGATTTATTTGTATAATTATGTGTAGCTGTGTGGACCTTGATTCTGAGAGCTGCATGGTATTCCATTTTGTTTAATCATTTCTTTTGTGTATATTTAGCCTCTCAGCATATTAATGTCCCGCTAGTCTTTGTTGCTTCCTGGTCTCGAGTGGTTGTCAGAAGGGTTGGAATTGGGCTGTGATCACAGCAGACTACAGCTGTTCCGTAGCAATTAAAAAGTATAAATAAATTTCTGCAACACCTACAGAAAGCTGGACGAATTAATTTTCTCTGTATATTTTATTGTGGTTCACTTTTTTATTGAGGTATCATTTTTTCTACAATGAAATGCAAGATCTTACATGTTCTGTTCAGTGTGTCTTGAAATTATCCTTTACCTCAGAAGTCCCCTCGTGCCTCTTTCCAGTCAAATCCCTCCTCTTAGAGACAACATTTTTCTGATAGTTGAGCCATCCTGGACTTCTAAAAAATTCTGTTTTCTCATTATATAACATGGACGTTAGATGCCACTAAATTGATATATTCACTTAGGGATGAGAAAATAAATAGGCAATTAAAAGCTGCAGTCAACTGTATCACAGTCATAAATCAGCACATTGATGCCAAGCAAATCAGACACCAACTTCCGTGTTGCTAAGTCATGAAGCTATTGAGGGACTGAGTCCAGTGAGAGCCTCTGAGCCACAGCTGCTGCAACAGAGAGAAGTGATATTTGCAATTTTTGAAAGGCTACACTTTTGATATAAGAAAATAAGAATGCATGACCTGGTGAATTTGACCTTATTATGACTGGAGGGGGCAATATTCAAAAGCAAGATTTTTCTTTTTTTTTTCTTTTTAAAAAAATGTTTATTTTTGAGAGAGAGAAAAAGAGAGAGACAGAGAGAGGGAGGGAGGGAGAGAGAGAGAGAGAGAGAGAGAGAGAGAGAACAAGTGGGAGAGGGGCAGAAAGAGGGAGACAGAATCCGAAGCAGGCTCCAGGCTCTGAGCTGTCACCACCAACCCTGAGATCATGACCTGAGCTGAAGTCAAAACCGTGACCTTAGCTGAAATCAGATGCTTAACCGATTGAGCCACCCAGGCACCTCCAAATCAAGAGTTTTCTAACAGACTTACTATTGATTGCTATTAGGCATGTGCAATTAGCCAAATTTTGTCAATCAGGAAACTTGCTGTGGTAGCTTAAACAAAGAGCTTTATCCAATGGAAAATTCCTCAGAAACCAATGCCTTGCAGTGTGAGAGGAAAAGTTATGATGACTGAGAATGAATAGTTTTATCTTCTTGTCCAGAAGAAAAATCTGTGAGTATATTTCACTGTAGATTTTGGCTGGGGACAAAAAGAAGCATACACTGCGCAAAAAGATGGATGACTATTTGCTCTCAGAAGTCACCATAATCACAATAAATTGTATTTCTTTTCAGATTTACCAGTCCATCATAGATGCATTGGTTGAATATGGCAAATGGTTCTACCATCAGTGTCCTACAATTCAGCTTAACTCCTATACATATCATTGTTGTGAATTAAATTAGAAAAAGACTTAATAGGCAAGTTAGACTTTCCCACCATGTCAACAAAGCCACAGCTCAACACAAGCAAACTGATAGCAAACTATATTTCCTGTTCTGGCACGGTAGCATCTTACAGCTTAGTCACTGTGTGTGTGTGTGTGTGTGTGTGTGTGTGTGTGTGTGTGCTCTCTGAGGCACAGGGCAGGCATTTAGACCTGAATTTGAGATGGAACACGGCACATTTCATTCACAGGAAGAGCCTCCAACATGCTGCTCCCCAGCCTGCTGAGAATAGTCACAGCCTCCATCTGCCTTGGTAGGGCTAGTAAGGACAGCCACAAGCACAGACAGGCTGTGCCGAGTCCCAAGTTCAGGGGTAGACACAGGTTATCATTGTCTGCTGGGGTTTAGGAGAGTAGAATAATGGGCAGGGGAATCAGAACTCTCAGTCCTACCTGAGTTCCCTAAGACCCTAGGGCCACTACCAGGAGAATCAGCCTAATTCTCTCTTCTCTTTTTGCAGGAGCCAGCATGGCACAGAAGGTAACTCAAGCCCAACCTGCAATTTCTATGCCAGAGAAGGAGGCTGTGACCTTGGATTGTGTATACGAAGCCAGTGGTTATACTTATTATCTATTCTGGTACAAACAACCACCAAGTGGGGAAATGATTCTCCTTATTTATCAGGAGTCCTACAGTGAACAGAATGCAACAGAGGGGCGGTATTCTCTGAACTTCCAGAAACCAGACAGATCCATCAGCCTCACCATCACAGCATTACAACTCAGGGACTCAGCGGTGTATTTCTGTGCTCTGAGAGACACCACAGTGATGCGGCACCTGTGGGAGCCCCACAAAAACCTCAGATCTCAGGCATCCCCCAGCTATGGACACCAGGGAGAGCGGTGTGGAAGGAGGAAGCGGGGGGCTGTGCCTGAGGCAGTGGGGGTTTTCAGGTGGATGCTTCACTCTAAGGAAAATGCTATTTCTCTGGCTCAGAGAACATATCAAACAGCGTCATTCATCAAAAGCATCTTTATCTTCAATTCTTTACCTCGCGGTAGACATTTCACAAAAGATTTTTTTTAAGTGGTTTGTGATGATTACATTAAAGCGGAAGACCCAAAATCTAAACGGCTTCCCTGTGTTGACCGGTAGTGCCAAAGTTGCTTCAGCCTGTAGCGTCAAAGCCCAGATCTGTCCTGGTGTAAAAGGGACTCTTAGGAAGCTTCCTTTGAAGGATTTAGTATCTTCCAGAGACTGAAGCTACGTCTGCTGCTCTGTCATGTATGGCCCTCCCGTATGGCCCCTTCTGGTCACTACCTGCTCTTCCGGGGAAACCACAATCCCATAGATAGATTCATTTTGCCTGTTTGCCTGTTCATTTGCAGTGTTGCATAAATATTCTTTTTTTTTTTTTAGGTGTATTTATTTATTTTGAGAGAGAGAGAGAGAGAGAGAGCGCACAAACAGGGGAGAGGCAGAAAGAGAGGGAGAGAGAGGATCGCAAGCAGGCTCAGCATTGTCAGCACAGAGCCCACTGCAGAGCTCGAACCCATGAACCATGGGATCGTGACCTGAGCTGAAATAAAGAGTCAGTCGCTCAACCTGCTGAGCCACCCAGGTGCCCTGCATGAATATTCTTATACATGGTCTCTGGTGAATGTAATTATACACTGCTATTGCACTTATCCATTGGAATTTCTGGATTAAAGAGTATAGATCGATCTGGTTTGAATTCCTCCACTAGTTAAGCCCTCAGAAAGACTACTAATGACCTCTGTGTTGTAGATCAACAGAAATTTTCAGGTATCCCCATAGCTGACCTCTCAGAAACTTTCGACACATGAGTTGTGACCACTTACTCTTAAAGCTCTTTCCTTTCCCCTGATGAGCCACCTTGACTCCTGTGCACACTCTCATCTCCCTTCCAGTCACTAGCTGTTGGAAGTCCTCGAGGGTTAGCTAGCCCTGGGCCAAGCCCTCTCTGTAGCCTCACACTTAAGAGAAAGTTCTCAGACACTTAGATTGAATGGACACACAGGACTGCCTCTGGCAGCAAAACAGCAGTAGCAGCAAACCGCACATAGTCTTTGTTTCATGTTCGCCAGGCATAAACATCAAAGAATGTTAAAGCATGGGAGGAATACACAAGGAGCCTCCAGACACAGACCAAACACACATCTGGTGTTTATGGGAAAGCCTGTAGGGAAGATGTACAGTTTCAAGTGCTGCTAAACAGTTACAGTGGGTCTGTTCCCTAACAGGCTCCTGGGAGATCATGGGGTTCTGTTCTCATAGTGCTATCACATTCAATAATCTTGAGAACAGAACTTCACTGACATTTCAACGATGACACCATTCACTTTCCTAGGGCTTACAATATCTTCTCTAGAAATAACTCCACACCGCTCCTTATGTTTTTCCTCCTCTCTATATGACATTTTATTCATGCCTATATGACTCACGTAGTTATATCTCTGTGCCAGGTCTCACAATCTACTTTCTCTGACTTTTTTTTTCTTTCAAGATTTTATTTAAATTCAAGTTAGTTGACATATAATTTTCTTACTTCTACTCAATTAAAAAAGTATGTCACCTGGTGGTCATGTACATACACAGGTAAAAATAACACAATAGTCAGCATTCTGTACATAAACATAGCAAAGTGAGAGAAATTGTCATGCAACCTAGTGTGATTTCTAACTCCTCCGAACTCCGTGATGCTCACTGCAGACTCTCTGGGCAGACTGGAAATACCACAACACCACAGACTCACTCCTGTGATCTCCAGCTCCTTAGAGAATTTCTCAGTTTTCTCAGATATCTTTATCTCCTATATCTCATGTGTCTGGGTAATAGGCCAAGGAAAGTTTAAAAGTTGGGTTTTATATATGTTTTGTGAGCATCCCCAAGCACGTGTTGTTGTTTCTCTATACATGTTCTTGTGTATTCAGGGCTTTTTCCAAAGACCAAGACAGAAAGAAACATTGTAACTAATATACTTCTACATATTGACATCTGTATCTATATTTATGTATAAATTTTTTAAAAATGCCTGATATGTCTATAACTGTAAGCTCCACAGGGTCAGGAAACCTGTATGTATTATTCATTACACAGTATTTGGCACACAGCGGTTGCACATTGAGTATTTGTTGATTGAAGAATACATTGATAACATCAACAGATACTGAATTTCAATCCTTTGGATGTTGTAAGATAAGTATGGATCAATTATTTCTTGTATTTGCCCTTTCCTCATGACCATGGGAATACTCTTTCTGTTTGCATGTGCCATAGATTCCTTTTCTGTTTCTACAGATTTTCCTTGTATGGTGCTATTTCCAGGTTTGCAATTTGGATGGTGTCTATCTTGTTGGTATAGATGGAGGCATCTTCATCACCTGAGTGAGACTATAAGGTTTATGTCTGATTCAGTTTCTTGTGAATTTGGATGTCCCTCATGTATGTATGCTGATTCCTCTTGGTTTCAGCTACTGATGACATCCCTCTGTTTTATATCTTTTCTGGTTTGATCTCCAGGATTTTTGTCTTAGGATTTGAGCCTCAAGTATTTACTGTGGCTGGAGATATGAATCCTGTAAAGTTTGGGGTGATAATGGCAGAGCGCGAGGTCATCCAGGTTGAAAGAAAATCAGTTAACTGAGTTCTCTCTGTACCCCCACACTTCTCCATTTAATACTAATTTCTGAAACACAAATTAAATGACCTTTATACAGTAGATTTTCTCCATACACTAGATGCTGCCCCTATGTACAGCTGGATACGGTCAAACTATCCATTGCCTTGTGTCTTTACCATTGTCATTGATTGCACTGCTTCTTTGTATCTTTTCCTTCAAGTCCAGTGACTTAGTTGATTTACTTAGCTTTTGGGTAGATATTCCTATTGTTGGAAGTCCTAGCCTGAGACTTAAGGAAAATGAGACTGTTTTTCTAATTTCCTGATTCTAGTTCCAAGGCCTGAATTATTTCAGTCGAGAATCCTTTAAAGCTCCTGGATTCTTAGCCCTTAAGAAAACTTTTAAGTTCAATTTAACTTTTTTAACTAACTTTTTAGTTCAATTTAAAGTTCAGATTTAAAGATGGTGGATGGGAATTTTTCTCAGAGAATTTTAAAGTTTAAAAGAATGTCTGGGGCGCCTGGGTGGCTCAGTCGGTTGGGCGGCCGACTTCAGCTCAGGTCATGATCTCACAGTCAGTGAGTTCAAGCCCCGCGTCGGGCTCTGTGCTGACAGCTCAGAGCCTGGAGCCTGTTTCAGATTCTGTGTCTGCCTCTCTCTGACCCTCCCCCATTCATGTTCTGTCTCTTTCTGTTTCAAAAATAAATAAACGTTAAAAATTTTAAATAAATAAATAAATAAATGTGAATGTTAGGAAATATTACAGTTATCCTTTGTCATAACATAGATGTAATCACTTTGTAAATCATACTAGAAAACATTCCTGAGACTGATGAGTTGAGAAGATTTTGGTTTGGGTACCATGTTTTTAAATTTACTTTTTAGGTAGGGAAATCACAGTAAGTATAAAAATTTGCAGGCTCACTCCTCTGTAAGAAGTCTTCAGCTTACATTTTGGTTGTGCTGTTTTGAGCTAGTTACCTGATCACAGCAAATAGGTAAAGCTTAAGACAAAGATAATACACATTCCTCTTTTTAAAAAAAATCTTTAAAGACAATTATAAAAAATTAACTCAACATGAATTGTGGACTTAAACACAAAAAGTAAAACTATAAACCTTTTAAAAGAAAACATAGGAGAAAATCTTCATGACCTGGAGCTAAATTTGACACTAAAGTTCTTAGATTTGACACTAAAAGCATTGCACAAGCGCATGCACGCGTGTGCACGTGCACACACACACACACACACACACACACACACACACACTGGATTACTTCAAAATTAAAAACTTGCCCTCTGCAAAAGACCCTGTTAAGAAAATGAAAAGATAAGCTTATCTTTCAAATAAGCACATGAAAAGATGTTCAATGTGATTATTCATCAGACAAATGCAAATTAAAACCACAATGAAGGGCACCTAGGTGGTTCAGTCAGTTGAGCGTCTGACTCTTGATCATGGCTCAGGTCATGATCTTACAGTTTGTGAGATCAAGCCTCATGCTGTGCTCTGCACTGACTGTGTGGAGCCTGCTTGGGATTCTCCCACTCCCTTCCTCTCTACCATTCCCCTCTCTTAAAATAAATAAATAAGCAATAAACAAATAAAACCACAATGAAATATCATTACACACCTATCACAATGGCTAAAATAAAAATTAGTGATAGTACCAAACGCTGACAAACCTGTGGGGAAACAGGATCATTTACAATCACAAGTGGGGATGTAAAATGGTAAAGCACTCTGGAAAATAGTTTGGTAGTTTCTTAAAAACTAGATATGCCTTACCATATGATCCAGCAATTGCATACTTGGGCACTTATCCTAGAGAAATGAAAGTTTATATTCACACAAAAACCTGTATGTGAATATTCATAGCAGCTGTATTCCTAACAGACAAAGTCTGGAAAGAACCCAAATGTGCTTCAATGAGTGACTGATTAAGCAAACTGTGGCACATCCATACCATGGAATACTACTCAGAAATAAAAAAGAACCAACAGATTATATATATATATCCAATAATTTGGAGAGATTTTATGCTTTTGTACTCATGTGGAATGAAAAAAAAATCTCAATATGCTCTGACTATACAATTCTATTTACACAGCATTATTGAAATAAAATAGTAGATATGAAGAACAGATTAGTGATTGTCAGAGCTTAATGATGTCATGCTACAAAGGGGTAGCATGAGGAAGCTTTGGTTTTGCATCTTGATTGTGACAGAGGATCTATACATATAATACACATGAATTCATGTCTCTGTACATATATAAAATTGCACAGTACACACACACACACACACACACACACACAAGTACAAACAATACCGTGGAAATCTAAGTAGGCTCTGTGGATTGTACCAATGTTAGTTTCCTGATTTAGGTATCATTGGAGTAGACTGGGTAAAGAGTATGTGTGACCTCCCTATATGTTTTTTTGAAGCTTCCATGAATCTATAATCATTTCAAATTAAAAGTATTTTTAAAATTGAACTCATCAAAGTTAAAATTCTCATCAAACTCACAACTGAGTTGTCTCCTTTGGCTCTGTTACACACTACCAATTCAACTCCTCCATTCTTGTAGTTCCTTTCCTGCACAGAGCTCCTGCACTAATCTTGCAGTTACCTTTCTCACCTTCTTTCTGAGATACACACACTCAGTGACAGAGAAAAACTGCCTGTGAAATATGATTTATAGCAGTCAGAGTTTGCTAAGTGTGGCTAGAATAAATCATATCAGTAAATAATAAATAGTATACAAGTTAGCACAATGATTTTTAGATCACTGAGAAATTACCTAATTCGCAAAGAAAAAGCCAAAAAGCAATGAACGTTGTACTGTTAGTACTACAAATTCTGGGTAGCTTATATTTTCTGGTTACTATGTAAGAGAATGGATGGAGTAACAACATCAAAGCTGTGCATCTGAGAGTTGATGCTTTTCTTTCTGGGTTGTAGCTAACAGAGAGAGCAAAGCACGCTGTTTGGACAAGTCTGAGGACAACTCACACAAATGGTGGTAACTCACCAAGGTAAACACATCTTCAATGACAAAATCCAATGGCGTGTCATAGAATCAAACAAATTAGGCAATACTAGTTTTGCCATAGATACCTTAGTCTAGTGTTAGTAATTTCAATATCAGTATTGAAATATTATTAGCTACTCTCTAAATTCAATAGCTCTTATTTTTGTAGTAATATGAGACTGTCTATAATATGTTACTTTGAAACTTTTACATATTTATTTGTGAAATTTGAAACAAGACATGCTATTTCTAAAATTCAAGTGAAGACAAATATGCAGAAAATCAGAAACAATTTGGAAACAGAAGAATAATGGGATTGTGGTGACGTCAAAGCTGTATCACACATCAAATAATGTTACAAAGCTGGAATAATTAAAAATAGTACTAGCAAATGTAGAACAAGAGAGACTATGGAGGAGAAGAGAGAAGACAGAAATAGAAGCAAATTCTGAATGGGAAATTACTATACCACAAAGGTAATTTGTATCAAGTAGAAGACAATGGATCAGCAGATAATGTTGGGGCAATTGACCAGCCATTTGAAAAAAAACCTGACCCTTAACCTTACTCCCTAGATCAAAGTAATCCCAAGAGGTAGCCTGAAAATATTAAAATTTAAACATAATAGAAAATTTCAGGACTTTGAAAAAACAATTTTGGCATGAATCAAGACTTTCTAAGCATGACTCAAATTTCAAATTTCAGGCAAAATGATAAGTAAGCAATAAATAAGAGCACATCAAAGCAAACATTTCTACATGGGGAAAACACCATTAAAAAGCCAAATGCAAATGCCAAAATGGAATAAAAAGATTCAAAAACAGGGAAAATGTAACTTTAAAATATAGAGCTTTTTAAAATCAGTAAGTAGATTAACTCGCCAAAAGAAAATTGCACCAATAATAGCTAATATTAATCAACTATTTGCTATGTTCTAGCTGTTAGGGTCAGGCGTAAGGTAGGGTAAAGATAGGAGTCAGAGGCTAAAAAATTTTAGCAGTCAAAGGCTGTATTTGGGAACTAAGGTCTCAGGCGAGGTTCTGTGACTCAGGGAGAGAGAGAGAGGAGTCAGGGAAGTCGCCCCCAGGTGTGGTGGGGTGGGGTTTTTAAGTTCCGGGTTTAGGTCTGGGTGGGCCTTTTTTTGTGTCAGGTCGTGCTGTTGCTCGGCGCTTTTCATTGGGTTGACCTAGCAAGATGGCCGTCCCCTCTACTGTGGTTCCAAGGACATCCTAACATTCTAACCTCTTATTGGTGATAATGGGCGATGGATCTGATCTGGCTGCTTCCTGCGGGTATAAGGGCGACTTCATGGTATGTGGGGTCTGAGGTTGGAATGTGGGAATATGGCTGGACCACCTGGGAAACTTCATGAATTCATTTTTGTACAAAATGGAGAAAACAAGGTAAGAGCATAAGTATTATACAGATAGCAACTAGTGGGGTGACTATGGTGAGGAGCCAAGTTAGGAGGGGTGATTGCCACCAGGAGGTTAGGGGGTCTGAGGATCCTGGGCAGGTGGATAGAGTTTTTTGGATTTCCTTTAGGTGTTCTATATTGGTTTCCACTAAGGCCTGATTCATTGAGGTAGTAGCAACATTCCTCCCTCAGGAACAGGCATGTTCCCCCTTTTTCTGCTGTCAGGAGATCTAGGGCTCGTCGGTTTCGTAGAGTGACCTGTGCTAGGGAGTTGATCTGCCTTTGTAAGGCAGATAGGGAGGTGGCTGAGGCTTCTAATTTATTGAGGATGTCTCGGCCCAACGGGGGACGGGGCAGGAGGGGATGACTAAGAAGGAGTGGGAGAAGTGGAAGCCATCCAGGCAGCAGGTGAGTACCGGTGTGCATGGGGGAACGGAGGGGGTGCCATTTATGCCCATGACCGAAACGGAGGACGGCGTGGTGGGGCCGGAATAGCTCGGCAGGACGGAATAGGTAGCCCCCGTGTCCAACAGAAAGGAGGTGGACTTATCCACTACCTGGAGTTTTACCCTGGGCTCAGCATGGGTCACCGGAGTTACTGAGTCTGGGACTCGTCACTTGTCATCCTCCATCTCCAGCAGTTGGAAGGCAGAGTCCAATCGGGGTGAAGCCTCGCCACGTGGGGGCGTTGCAAATCTGTCGTCCCCTGGGTAAGGACAATCGGATTTCCAATGGCCCATTTGCCGGCACAATGGGCATGGACTAGTAGGCTTTTTGGGATGGGGACACTGAGGAGACCAATGGCCTTCTTGGCCACATTTAAAGCATGGCCCCGGAGGGGGCCGTGGTCCGGAGGGCTTTATTGTGGCTGGCCTCAGGGTCAGCCTCTTGGTCATCCAAGACCAAGGCTTGGGTCTGTAATGGTACCTTTTGTTGGAGACCGGCCTGTCGCCGTTGTTCTTGAGCTTCCTCTCGGCCATTAAAAACTTTAAAAGCCATCTTTACCAGGTCGGCCATAGGGGTTTGAGGACCATCTTCGGCCTTTTTTAGTTTTTTTTGAATATCAGGGGCTGATTGGGAAATAAAATAGGTGGCCAATACTGTGGCCCCGGCGGGGGGTGGTAGGGTCTAGTCTGGTATACTGGGTAAGTGCCTCTGTGAGCCGGCTGAGGAAGGCTGCGGGGTTTTCATCGGGGTCCTGCATATTTCTTGAAGTTTGTTAAAATTTACTGATTTGTTTGAGGTTGCCCTCATGCCTGCTAGTAGGCACTGGATCATCTGGTCCCAGTGCCGGTGACCATTGCCTGCATGTTGGTAGTTCCAGTTGGGGTTGGCCGCCAGGACAGCATCAGCCCCTACAGGCATAGTGGGGTCGGTCATATGGGTTTGGTCTGCATGTTCCCTGGCTGCGGCCTGGATTCGCTCCCTCTCCTCAGGGGTGAGGGTAGAGGTGAGGATTACATGGATGTCATGCCTTGTGAGACTGTAGGCTTGGGCAAGGTATTGGAATTCCTTAGTGTATTGGGTGGGGTCAGCCGAGAATGACCCTAGCTGCTTTTCAATGGCGGATAAGTCTTGGAGGGAGAAGGGGACGTGAACGCAAACTAGGCCTTCAGGTCCTGCCACCTAGGAGAAGGTAAGATGGCCGCTGGGGTCTGTTTGCTGGGAGGGGCCTGAGCACGAGTTCGGGATGATATGGGAGGCCAGGGCGGGACAGCTGGGGGTTGGGAGTACGGAGGGGGGCGAGGGCCGGTGGGCGGCGTGGCTAGATCCTTTAAGGGGTTGGAGATCGGGGAAGTTGGTGAGGTGGGGTTGTGGGCGGGCAAGGAGCACGCATGCAGAGGGGCAGGAGGACCATAGGTTGGGGCGAGACCTGAGATCCCAAAAGGCCATGACATAGGGTATTTCTCCCCATTTTCCCAGCTGATAGCAGAAATTGTCCAGATCAGTTAAGATTTGGTATTGTGAAGACCCCTCCGGAGGCCATTGAGGATCATTATCTAATTTGTACCGAGGCCAGACTACAGTGCAAAGGCGGATGAGTCGGTTACCACGAAGTTCGCCTTGTAAGCCCAGGAGCCAGAAGTTTTTTAACAGACATTGGGCGGGGGGATAAGAGACCGAAGAGTTTTAGACTCGTTACTCGCCATTGGCGTGGCAGGGCGAGGCGTCCCTCGCGCTGCAATAAGGGCCTATTGGCGTGCGGGCCTTGAGGCGTGCGGAGGAATGGAGACTGACTTTCGAGACGTCTCTCGTGGGTGTCAGCCGTGGTTGGAGGAGGGAAGGAGGGGTCTCTCCTACTTACCGGCTCCTGTAGGCGCTTGAGAGTAGGGTGGTTGGCCTCTGGCTTGGCAAGGAGGGAGCTCAGCCAAGGGAGGCGAGCTACTACCTCCCCCTGGGGTTTCAGCACCAAATGTTAGGGTCAGGCGTAAGGCAAGGTAAAGATAGGAGTCAGAGGCTAAAAAATTTTAGCAGTGGAAGGCTGTATTTGGGAACTAAGGTCTCGGGCGAGGTTCCGTGACGAGAGAGAGAGAGAGAGAGAGAGAGAGAGAGAGAGAGAGGAGTCAGGGAAGTCGCCCCCAGGTGTGGTGGGGTGGGGCTTTTAAGCTGCAGCGGTTCCGGGTTTAGGTCCAGGTGGGCCTTTTTCGCATCAGGTCGTGCTGTCGCTCGGTGATTGGTTGACCTCCAATTCGTTCTGGCAGCTACTAGGGGCTTTTCATTGGGTTGCCCTGGCAAGATGGCCGTCCCCTCTACTGTGGTTCCAAGGACATCCTAACACTAGCCATTATTTGATTTTATATGTTTATAACTGTATAAACATATATGTAATCTATTTATATCAATGCATATGATACAGCAATTCTAGAAGGTATGACTATTGTTTCTCCATTTTTCAGTTGAGAAAACTAAGTAACAGAGTCAGTAAGAAACGTGTTCAAAATCTCACAGCAAATAAAGCATACACCTGGAGTTTGATTCCTGTTGTTCTGAGTTCAGAAGGAACAAATTTTGAATAGAGTTTTCAAAGTCAGACATGCGAACAGATTTTAAAATTATTTTGAAAATCCCCGTTTCACTAATAATAGAGCAATTAAAGATGGTACTCTGAATTAGCATTTTTCACTTATTAAATTAAGAAAGATAAAACAGTTTAGTTATATAAGGTGCTGGCAAGGGAATGGAGAAACAGATGCTGATACATTGTAACTATGTAAATTACTACTGCTTATTTAAAGGCGTCTTGGCAATACTTACTAAATGAAAGATGCATGGATTTTTTTTCGTAGCTTTATAACTTTCAATAATTTTTATTGATATACTGGATCATGCTGGCAAACCTCTTTGAGGAAATTCATTTCAGCAAAATCTGTGACAGTAAAAGACTGGAAATCATCTAAACTTGCAAAAATACAAAACTGCTTAAGTAAAATATGATTTGTCTGTGCAAGGGTATGCTACGTAGCCATTTTGCATGGGAGAAAATGCTGGAAGCCGAGCTATCCAACCAGCCTGATGGCAGGGCCCAGGCGGTGGACGGATCGGGACTGCAGGGCGGCCCAACGGACAGTGAAGCTTCTTGTATTCCTGCTTTTATGTAATTTGGCCTTAATAAAAGTACCTGGGGAGTTGTCTGTTGGGGAATTGCCCTCGACAGGCCTCCTGGGAAAAGAGCCATTGGGGAAAGAAATAAGGTTCCACAAGGAAATTGTGCAGCCCTACATTTAGCCTTTGCCACCCCCTATGAAGACTCCTCTACCTAAAGGAAGGATAGCGTCATGTTTCCCAGCCAAGGAAGGAACAAATGGATTTGAAAGCCCCACTCTGGTAACTAAGGAGTGTATCTATGGGCACAGGTCACTCCAACCCCTAGGCCCACTTGGCCCCCAGGAGGCATTCCAGATGATGATTGAACCTAGTCAGTTAAGTTACAGAATGGTTCATTAGTTCCTAGGTGCATTGTCTCTCTGAGAATGTATAAGGTATGGGTTTCTAAGGCCCTCTTGGCCCCCTCCTGGAACCTCAGACAGAGGCGAACACTTTTGTTCTTCAAACCATGAATGGTTCAGGGAAACAACTAAGAGGTCATGTCCCTGCAACTGTTCCACTTGAGGTGTTGAGAGATAAATGACCTTTCATGAAAACAGCAAAGCAGATGCTTTATAGATTGTAGATAAACATAGATACATAATGAGAGAAGTTAATCAATAAGCAAAGGGCAAGAGGGAACATTACAAGAAAACAATCATGTTATTCCTTAATGGGTGATTACACAAAGGAACAATTTTAGAATTAGGCAATGCCAGAAAACATAGATGACACACACTATAAGGAAATTGCTAGCAAATATAATGCCATGTTTGCCACAATAAAGCGGGCAGTCCAACACATTCCTGTTGTCTGTGTCCATTTTTATTTTTGTTTTAGTTTATTTTCACTTTTTCGCCCACGCTGTTCATCCTTCGGGAACCCCTGGACCTGCTGGAGCTGGACTCCGGCAGGAAAATAAACAAAGCAGGGCATGGAGTGTATACGTTTTTCTAAAAATAGTGAATGCATGTGTATCATAGGAATACCCACCTGTATGGATGAACTGTGGTACTGAAAGATAAGTGAGGAAGGAAGACTTACTCTTACTGTATGTTATTTGCTTATATAAAATGTGCTGTACATAAATAATAGTTACTCTCTCCCAACACACACACAGTGACTTTCTGATCCCTTTGAGGTCTAGAACTGGAGAGGTCTTTTTTCCCCATGTTACGCTTTTCCTTCCCACCCTCCAAAGATCTATCATGTTTGTGACCGTGAATTTTGGTCACACCTGGTCCCTGTAGCTAGGCATAAAATTATTTGAAGACATGGATTTCTTATATTCCCTATTTCCTTCCATTCAGTGGGGTTTCCAGATGAAGCTACACCCTATTTGATCTCCCTCTTTTAGAGCTCTAGTCCTTTTAAAGTGTCACCTGCTGAGTTTCTTGTGTATGTTAAAGAGAAACACAATCTGTTACACGTAGGACCAACTCTTTTATAACCTCTGGTACCAGTTTAGCTTTAAAGGCCATTCAAGAAACAATGAAACAATTAAAAGTGTAAACAAGAGGAGCGTCTTGAGTGGTTCAGTTGGTCAAGCCACTGGATTCTTGGTTTCAGCTCAGGTCACATTCTCACAGTTCCTGAGTTCAAGCCCTGAGTTGGGCTCCGTGTTGACAGCCTGGAGCCTGCTCCGGATTCTCTCTCAGCCTCTCTCTCTGTCCCTCCCCAACTCTTGTGTGCCCACGCACACGCTCTCTCTCTCACTTTCAAAATAAATAAAAATAAACATTAAAAAATCTTTTAAAAGTGTAAATAAGAGATGGCTTTTCTGACTATAACTTTGAACCTCAGAGACACTATGCCCGTTGAATATAATCTTTCCGTCAATCTTTTCTTTGTAGGGCAGTATGAGGCGGGTACTGTGAGACTCTGTCTGTGACCAGGAGGCGGCGGTGGTTCCATTCTTCTCATTTCCTGAATTCTTGAAACTTCAAAAGCATGAAACTGAGTTTTGATTGGCTAAGCCACCAACAGAAAGGCTCTCTCCTGCATCAGAGAACAAGAGCCAAGACCCAGAGACAGCACCTCAGAGAAGATTTGGAATCGTTACGGATTGTACCAAGACTCAGATAGATGTCAGGATGGGGAACGTGCTGGAGTGTGCATTCATAGTTTTGTGGCTTCAGCTTGGCTGTAAGTTGGAGGGCAAGAGGCGAGAACCACAGGGACACGTTTATCCAAAGCCGGGGGGAAGCGATAGGGGTTCAGTCTCAGCTCACACAGGTGTCTTGTCGGAATTTTTCACAACTACTGTACCAAAGGCGTTGCATCACTTCTGATTTTGTTTTCCTGAACAGGGTTGTGTGGAGAAGACCGGGTGAAGCAGAGCCCTCAGACCTTGAGACTTCGGGAGGGAGACAGTGTCAGCCTCAACTGCAGTTACATGGTCAGCTTATTTACAGGGCTCCAGTGGCTTAGGCAGAATCCTGGGAAAGGCCCTGAACTCCTCTTCCTCCTGTATTCAGTTAGCGAGGAAAAGCAGAAAGAAAGATTAAAAGCCACAGTATTAAAGCAGGGAAGTTCTCTGCACATCACAGCCTCTAAACCTGAAGATTCAGCCACTTACCTTTGTGCTGTGGAGACACCGTGCTCCCAGGCACCTGCAGCCTGAACCAGAAACCTGCAGTTGAGCTCTGGACATCAACAACATCTCTGTTGGTTTTCTTCCTCGAAGAAGTACCTACTTAGAACTCACAGCCTTTCCAAGTGGTCCTATGGAGAACAAAATCTCTTGATGTAGCCAGATGGCACAGATGACTGTTAATTCTGTCCTGGTAACCTGGACAGTCCCCTTTGTGTGTTCCTGGGTCTGTCTGCTCTTTATAACAGCCTGAAGCTTCCCTCACATGGATACAGAAGGGACAGCTGTGATATGGCTGGCCTTGGTTTCCAGTCTTGGGTCACTTGAAAAGAACCTGCCCAGGAATACACACTCTTCCCCCAAATTAAAAAAAAAAAAGTTTTATATTCTCTTATAATAATTTGGTCAATATTAGTGAATCTTTTCCTTTTAGTTTCTTTAAGTTTATTTATTGAGAGATAGAGAGAGAGTGAGAGAGGGAAAGTGCATGTGTATGAGCAGGGGAGGGGCAGAGAGAGGGAGAGAGAATCCCAAACAGGCTCCTCAATGGCAGCACTGGGCCCCACGCGGAGCTCAAACTCCAGGACCCTGAGATCATGAGCCAAAATCAAAAGTCAGGCATTCAACTGACTGAACCACCCAGGCGCCCCATATCTTTCCCATTTTAATATAGTTTTCTTGAAGGCCACATCTCCACCAGCCACATTTCTACATTCCTCTTCTTAATAACCAACTTAATGGAAAGAATTGTTCGTACTGACTACGTCCATTTCCTCAATTCCAATTCTTCACCTCCACTTGAATCTGGCCTCTATTAGCATCACTCCAAGAGAAACTCTTGCTTTCATGTCCATGGCTTTGGTGTTGATAAAACCAGTGGTTGGTTTCCAGTCCTCATCTTGTCTGAAATTCTCAGCAGTCTCTCTTCCCTTATTTTAAAAATAAGTGTTATTTTTTTAAACAAAATCATACTTCATATATTTACGAAATCAAAAGCACTCCTCCACATACTTCAGTCCTGCCTCCTTGATGGACCTTTTAATTCTCAAGGGCTGGTACTGACATTTACTTCAATATTTTTAAATGCTGTTACTTTGTTCTCTCTCTCTCTCTCTCTCTCTCTCTCTCTCTCTCTCTCTCTCTGTAATTGAGGTGTAACACATATAATAAAGTGCACAAAACTCCAACCTATAGCTCAAGGGGACTTTACACTTGTTTATAT